GGATCTAAGGAAGAGAGAGAGAGAGCCAAACTTTTTTCCAAAGTTAACTATTTTAGAAATTCTTCCTTAACACTAGCTAGTAGGAAATGCATTCTCCTGTTCTTTTTCTGTCTTCCGCCATCAAAATCATACTCGCTACATAAATACATAATGATTGGCTATGCTAATTCTACCCTTAGCCTTAGCATGGCATGCTAAACCTAGCATGCTAAAGCTAGAATTAGTTCTGCAGTACTCAAATTCAATGGCCTGTATTGTTAAGTTTAGATGAAAACTGTGAATATGTAAGATCCCCCTCTAAAAATGCTTGGAAATATTTAATTGGTTTAACAGTTCAAACAACAATTGTACCTTAATAAGCATTAATGTGTAGCTGTGGAAACTGTCTTAGCACTGCCGCAGAAGCTAACATCCACAATATTTTCCTTTGCTCTTGGGGAATTATATATATTTTACTACTGCACTGTTCAAATCAATATTAAGACACTTCTTATCCCAAAAAAAATCTGCTTTTCAAAACATTACATTCAGAAAACTATAAGGAGAAAAACCTAAATTTGAAAAAGAAACATATTTGAGGAATAACCTCAAGATCGGTAATCCTGACAAGTTCTGATGATTTCAGTACTGACCTAAATCATCATCATCATGATTTTTACTCTTAGTGGAGCTGCCTGGGGCAATGTTCAATACTCTTCTACATATAACTCCTTATGAATCATAGCGACAACTAAGCAGCTCACAGATGTTTGCTAGTCAAACCATATGTTTTGAATCAATGTTGTTTTTATGTTTTCACGTTAAATTGTTTACGACAAGTAAAGCAAACAGTGGGACTAAAACGGATGTTTTTCCCGGAAAAAAAAAATATTTGAATGTTATTTTGTATGTCTGAGTCAAAACTCACATAAATTATGCACATTTTGTCTAACCAGGCAGAACAAAAACATTTAACATTTCTGTTGAACTAGATACTAGGTGACATAAAGGGGGGGGGGGGAAGAGTTTGTTTTCGTTTTTATCCAAGAACTGAACAAAACTGAACCAGCAGCATGGTAATATATGTCTGGTTCTTGCCTCAAATGATTGTTGTTAAACAAAGGGAAGTGTCTGCTGAAGACTCAGGATGATACGAGGGCTTCCTAAACAAACGGCAAAAAATAATATGTCATTCTTTGCTGTCTTGTGAAAGAGGTGAAACCGTTGGACCCATGGCGACTGTAATCACGTCACCTCCAGATCTGTTTGCTTGTGGGAAGACAGCAGTGATATTCCATCATCTCACAGCGATCCCCAAAGTACAGAGACAGCAGGAGGATGCACTCGTGTTGGTTGCAGGCACTGGAACTGCCAGCATGCACTGTGAATATGTGAAATGCCCTAAAAGTCTTGGTTGCTTCCACCTTTTCCTAGCAGAATTGGGCAGCCGAGCGTCTTAGGTCGGCTCGCTTTGTGCGTTGAAACCGTTAAAAGGCTCCCCGACTCGAGGAACGGCAGCTCTCGTCCCCACTTCACCTCGGATTCTCCTCCTCTGTGCTTTTCTAGGTCACTCTGACATGCGGAACGGAGACAGGCCTGCGATCGGTGAAGGAACCCAGCAAATGCCAGTACATCATGGACTTTGAGACTCCAGTGGCCTGTCAGCCGGTGCTGAAGCAGAGGGGCGTGCACAGCGAACTGTGACCTCCCCTTCCCTTTGCCGCCTTAGCCTGGAATAACTTGGACCCCTGCCCTTGTTGGCTTGCCCCACAGTGACAGGCCGGGGTCCTGAGGGTCCCCTCTGACATCTGTGTTGTCAGAACGTGTATACTTCCAAGCAAGTTTGACTGAGGTCAGAAAGTAATTTTTTTTTTTTTTGTAATGATGTTCCATGAACACTTTTACTGTGGTTTGCATAGACTGTTACTTTGCTATTTTATAACCATTCTGTGCTTCCATATAGCGATTACCGACACATTTCTGAGACAGGAACGTTTGTGAAATAGTTCGGTTTCATTACCAAACAGAGCAATATTACAATAAATGATTTCATAAAGTCAGGCCAGTCAGGTTAATATAGTTGCGAATACAACCGCCTACTTTCGACGGTGGCTTTGTCTTTCTTCTCGATTGTAGAGTTCGCTTTATTATAGCCTTTATTTAATATCAGAAGAAGAAATCTTGATATATCGTCATACATGTATAAATAAAATAGTTATATTTTAAAATCACCAAAAAGACCAAAATCAAAAAAAAAAAAAAAAAGAGTCATAATCAGCAGACAGAATGTTAATATCAAGAGTTCAGTTTTTCTTTTCCCCGACTGAAATTTGTAGGATTTCCAGTCACTTTTAGTCAGTTTTAAAGTATCGATGCCAAAGTTTATGTTGAATCAGATGGGATGGCCGGATTGTAAATGTTAGATGTTTGGACAAGCGGCTGATGGATCAGTTTAGCTCCAACTTTGGTTTGTGTAATTCTACTACCACACATTTATTTAGGTCAGATCTCTTAATATTAAAAATGAAAGAAACTGTCTAATTCAACATTAATTTAATGTACCTCTCTGTGTCAAGAGCTGACGAATCTGGTTTATTTAGCAGTAAACAAGACTTTTTGGTCTTCAGAGGCTCAAATATGTAAATCTGTTACTTATTTACATTTTTAAAAAGGCCTGGAGGCTGAGATCCAGCAGGGAAGGTCAGAAAGTATTCAGGAACGCACAAAAACTTCTCAGTATGTCCATCAGATGGTAAAGTTGTTGCAGTACTTTCCACTTACACTTGAGAAATGAAATATTTGTAACTGTATATTATAGAAAGTGATTACGTTACACATAATTGCTGTATTAAAGTTTTATTTCTAAACAGTTTCGTCCTTTTTCCATCGAATTTAAAATAATCTCACAGGGAGTTTTGAGTAGTTTACTTGTAAAAATGTACGTTTTCTGGAAATGTCACATGAGACTAAGAACTTGACTGGTAGGCTCATAGTTCCGTCTCCAATCCAACAAAATACTTTTGGCTCGTTAGAGCAAAGCCTGTGAGACAAGCCAACTCATCTAATACTGTCTGAGTTCATATGAGATTCCTACAACAATGGTCAAAAGTTTGTGTAGCTAGCTACTCGCCTTTGGGGAAGTGTTACAAAGAACAGAAGATAGCCATTGTTGTCAATTTTATTGCCCAGTGCTTTTACACGGACATGCCGGTTAAGCTGTAAATAAAGTAAAAACAAAACGTCAATATTCAATAAACACAAACTTAGACATATATTTGGGAGCTTGGCTTGACTTAACTAGCCGGTTATAAAGCAAAGTTCACTCTTAGAACACTTCAGTGCAGCAAACAACAGCTAGCATTTGGCTAATTAGCTCTAGCAAATTCACCAAGCGCACGCTTAGAACAGATAACGGAAAAACTCATTTCTCACAGCTTACAGCACTAATATAACTCACCACGTTGGGCAACATTCATGAACAGCAGTAAGATATGATTTTATGGGAGATTCAGCTTGTTAGTTTCAGCTAACGGCAGCCTAAAGCACGCCACCTGGTCTGCCGTCAGTTTTCTTCCTCTACATTTCTTAATGTACGTGTCAATACAAAGCAACTATAGAGCCCCCTAGTGGAATGGGAGGAGTGAATCCAACAGGAAGCATTCCTCAAACAGTTGAACGTGTCATGGGGCAAAGCCGGACATGTTGACTTCTGGGTTTCCCGAATTGACCTTTCACCTCTGCATCCAAATATTGACTAAATGGAAGAGAATTGGTCACTAGTGGTGAATAAATTGGTGAATAATCTGGCATCTAAACCTTATTGCTCAAAGTGAGTGTTTTTGAGAGTATTTGCACTGCTTTGATGGGGAGAGCGCTCCCATCAAAGATAAGGATAAGGACACAATGCCGAAGCTTGGGCTAGGAAAGCCTTGGTTTTAATTTTGCACTATCGCTAAGATTTAGATTTACGTAAAAGACAACTTTGAGATGTTTGATCATTTTATTTAATTTGTTTCATCCATTTTTTTTTTTTTTGTCCGTCCACTTTTCTCATCACACTGTGTTGGACGTTATGATGTCATAAGGTAGCTACAAAAAGTCCAAAGATTAGCTTTAAAAGACCTTCAAAAAACCCCGGGAAAACTATCAAGACCATTTTAAAAAATAAGAAAAATCTTCAGTTTAGTTGGAAAATTAAAGTGACGAGGGGTTGCTGGTTTCCTGCACACTTGCGCTACGTTGACATGCAATCTTTAAAGCCGTCTGCAATATTTGCAGACCTTCAGTTCTTATTCTATGCTGAATTTAACAGCTATTGATTTTCCAACATCCTTGCAGGCCAAGCAGTCTGCCTCTTCCCCGGCCTGCTGTCTGTGACGTTATGTAACAGATTGTAGGGGTTTCTGCAGCAGAGCCCTCTGCTCATTAAGGGGGAGCTAAATCAGCTGTCAGGTTTCCAATAGTCTGCCTGATATATTCCTGGCCTGCTGGGGCAGCTGGGTGGCTGTTTGCCTGCTAGCAATGCAATAGCCCGAGGCCCTGCAACTCAGGAACTGCTGCTTTTTATTTATCTGGCCTCGGCTCTCATACACATGCTCTGTTTGATGGCGAGCCTAACCATTTGCCTTCACCTTCGATTTTCCAGAATAATAACGGCCCGTTTTGTTCAGGGAGCCGGCCAAATTGGATTTACCGCATCGCTCCCGAAAGCTTTCAAAAACGATATTGAGTTACGCAGAAAATGCAAAATATGGCGACGGGATCAGAGTTCAGATGTAAAGTGGGACAAAGGAACAAACTGTGGAAATTACACAAAATCTTTTCAATTATAATTATGGATAAAATGTAGCAATTACAATAGATTTACAGTTTTGAAATGAAGTCCCGGTAACACTTTATTTGAAGGGGGGTGAATAAGACTGACATGACACTT